AGCTCCCCAATCTCCTGCCCCCCGCTGGGGCAACACATAGGGGGTGCACATGGGTGCACATGCAACCTCTGCGTGTGGCGGTGCACCCACTGCAAAAAGGCACTGCCAACACTGTCGGCGGTGCCTGTGGGCGGCTACCGCTTGCCACCCCAGTGTCTGGGGGCAGCATACGATCTCCCCGACTGCTGTCAATGCTCCTGGCGGTGCCTTCGGGCGAATGCCGACCTGTGGTCAGCGCTCACCACCCTCCGCCCATCCCTCCACTGCTGAAAGCGCCAGCGGCATCTGTAGGAGCTCCCCACTCACTGCCGCCGAGTTCCTGCCACCGTTGGCTCAGCCATGCCCCCCCAGCCACCAGGGGCACATGCTGTTCATGCCCCTGCCCAGCCCTGGCCCTGATGGCTCCCCACCCCCCACAGCATCCTGGCACTTAAAAAAAAAAAAAAAAAAAAAAAGCCCCGCACTCACTGGTTCTGGCAACTGTGGTTAGGGCCTCTGAGGGCTCATGACAGAGCGCCCCAGAGCAGTGTGGAGCAGTGAGGATCGCCCCCCCCGCCTGGCACCCACGTGGCAGCTGCCCCATGGTGCGGGTACAGTACAGCCCAGCAGGGTGCCACATGCTGTCTAGGAGCTGGGGCCGCTGAGGCTGGGGCAGCTCACATGTGGAGCTGCCCCAGCTCCCAGGAGGCACACGGCATCCTGCCAAGCAACACTGCACCTGCGCCATGGACAGCTGCCATGCAGATGCTAGGCGGGGGGCTGCTGCCCTCCACTGCACCGTACTGCACTGGGGGGCTCTGCCATGAGTCCTCAGAGGACCTGATCACTGCTGCCAGAGCCAGTGAGTGCGGGGCTGTTCTTTTCTTTGGTGTCCTCCAAAATGGCCAAATCTGAAATTTGAAACAAGACATAGCCACTTCACACAGTCCTACTAAACTATTTTAAAAAGGGACAGAAAGTTTCAGGCACAGGTTTCTTCCCTCTCTTCCCTGTTGGGCTTCACATCTTTGTTCATGAACTGCATACAGATTTCAAAACTACTTAGGAGAGGGGAGATTTGAACTTTGAGCTTCTCTTTCTCAATGAACTTTCCTCTATGTGACAGTAGCATTTTACAGGTTTCCCTTGATTTATGCAATGCATGTGTTCCCAGAGAACAGCGCATAAATCAAATTCACATAAAGCGAAACCACTTTATAATGTAACAAAAAGGGATAGTTTCCCATGGCAATCAGGGAAGGAGGGAGAGAGTGAGGCACTCATCCCAGCCCCAGGAGCAGATGACTTCCAGGTGGCGTGGAGCATGGCCCTCAACCCAGCCCCGGGAGCAGCTGACACCAGCTGCTACAAGCAGCTGGGCTGCATCGTGCCCCAAACTCCTGGGGGCTCTGCCAGTCACCACTCACCCCAGCCCATGTTGGAGCAGCCCCGGGAGCAGCCAAATCCAGCTGCCTGTAGCAGCTGGCCTGCACCGTGCCCCGAACCCCCTGGGGCTCTGCCAGTCCCCACTCACCCCAGCCCATGTTGGAGCAGCCCTGGGAGCAGCCAACTCCAGCTGCCTGTAACAGCTGGGCTGCACCATGCCCCAAACCCCCTGGGGCTCCACCTGTCCCCACTCACCCCACCTACAGCTGTTATGGCTTCTAAGCATCCCTCTAGCTTATCTCCTACCCCTCCCCCTGGTCCATCAGTGAAGCACAAGAGAACTTCACTAACACTGGAGACAAAACTGGAGATTTTGAAAGGTGCAAAAGCTAGTGAAGGGCCCTCTGCACTTGGTCGTGCATTCAACCTGGGTAGGGTCTGGAACCAGCTTCCAAGTGAGGTGGTGCAGGCTCCCACCCTGGGGGTTTTTAAGAGGAGGTTAGATGACCATCTTGCGGGGGTCGTTTGACCCCAGTACTCTTTCCTGCCATGGCAGGGGGTCAGACTAGATGATCTGCCCAGGTCCCTTCCGACCCTACAAACTATGAAACTAAGTCAACTAAACATGCCATCAAAAAGAATGCTGACAACATAAGGAGTTCTGTGATCCATTTTACACCACTTGCGGCCAAGACAGGAACAAAAGTAAGGAACCCGCTGTTGGAGAAGATGCTGGGGGTGTGGGTAGAAGATCAGATCCAGAAGATGAATCTTTCCTCTGCTGCAATAAGGGGTAAGGCCCTGTAAATTTATGGCTGCCTACTTCAAGACAATGGCAGCCCTGAAGAGCCCTTTATGGCTAGTAAGGGCTGGTTTGACAAGTTCATTTGGCGTATGAACTTGCACAGTGTTAAGATGATTGGCCAGTCTGCAAATGCTGATCATGAAGTTTCCTGAGAGGTTTCAAGCAATCATAGCTGCTGAGGTGTACAGTCCTAAGCAAGCTTTCAATGCAGCTGAAACAGTGCTGTTTTGGAAGCAGATGCCATCTAGGACATACATCTCCAAGGAAGAGAAGGTTGCAAGTGGGTTCAAGGCAGCGAAGGACAGGCTGACTGTCCTACTGTGTGGCAATGCTGCTGGAGATTTTAAGTGTAAGCCACTGATAATATACCACTCCCTAAACCCATGTGCATTAAAAGGACTGAGTAGGAACATGTTGCCTGTACACTGGGCTGCAAACAAGGCATGGGTGACAGGCCAACTTTTTGAGGACTGGTTCACTCAACATTTTATTGTGGAGGCAGAGCGCTATTGCAGGGAAGCTAACCTTGCATTTATGTGGCAGAACACCGTCCCCGTCTCTCTCCAAAACTCTGCTACCTGAAAATATGGTTACCATGGTCACTCTTCTGCCCCACCCCTTATGTGACCCTGAGCTGGATACATTCCAGAGGGAAGGGAAAACCTGCTCCCTCTGCCTACATGACTGGCCACACATACCTGGGTGAGAGGCTTACGCTCCCTATTGTTCTAAGCAATGCCAACCTGACTGGAAGGAGGCTAGAGCCCCTGCCAATCTACCCAGCAACCAGTGATGCATTTCAAATTGGTTGGCTGGCAGCCAACAGGTGCTGGCTTCCACTGGACTAGATAAATGAGTTCACACCCTCTATATAAGTTAAGGACTGCCCAGGAGGAGGTGCAGTAGCCATGATGAAAACTTAGAAGCTGGACCATCTGAAACTTGCTCTCTCTTGAAACTCATAGTTAGTAGGGTCGGAAGGGACCTGAGCAGATCATCAAGTCCGAACCCCTGCCACGGCAGGATAAAGTACTGGGGTCAAAAGACCCCAGCAAGGTGTGCCTCTAACCTCCTCTTAAAGACCCCCAGGGCAGGAGCCAGCACCACTTTGCTTGGAAGTTAGTTCCAGCTCTTAGCCGCCCTGACTGTGAAGTAGCGCCTCCTGATGTCTAGTCTGAATCTACCCTCTGCCAGCTTGTGACTGTTATTTCTAGTCACTCCTGGTAGTGCTCAGGGGAACAGGGACTCCCCCAATACCTGCTGGTCCCCTCTGACTAGTTGGTAACAGGCTACTAGATCCCCCCCATAGCCTTCTCTTGTGGAGGCTGAACAGGTTCAGGTCCCTTAGCCTCTCCTTGTATGGTCTGCCCTGCTGCCCCTGATCATGCGCATGGCCCTCCTCTGAACCCTCTCAATGCTGTCCACATCTCTCCTGAAGTGCGGTGCCCAGAACTGGATGCAGTACTCCAACTGCAGCCTGACCAGTGCCGCATA